AATCTGATATGACGAAGTATTTATATAAAATGAGGTGAATTGAGTGTTTAATAGTTGTGACTCAACTCGTTCATTTTTCTTGTTCGAACTACATTAAAACTATTGACTAACTATTGAATTTTATTCGTTCAATCATCTTTATTTCTGTATTTATCTAATCAATTGTAGTCTGACAATTACTCTTTATTGGTTCCTCAATTGTCTCGATCATTGTCATCAACCACTACGTTAAATTCAGTGAGTATACTCATTAGTTTATTAGAAAAAGTTAGTTATTTAACTAAAACAACAAAATACAATCAAATATTACTGAAAAAATTACAATTTGACAAATATTTATTTAATATATTGTTAATTATTGGTCGACGATCTACATTTCATTCAAAAGATCTATTAATTCAATTGATAATTACTATTTTACAAAATATTTGGACAAATTCAATTAATGCAAATCAATTAGAACAATGTTTTAAATTATTTCTCACACATCGTTCTCTAATACAACCAATATTAAGATTATTTAAACATTTAATAACATATACCGATTCAAATCAACCAAGAGCATATAGTCCACAACCGATGACATCAGCCATAGGTATATAAAACAAATAATAATAAAGAAAAAGATATTTATTTATACTAATAGATAAATTTTAAATATATATTTTTTCTTTAGGTACTGGTCCCGGTAATTCATTTCGTTTAACATTCACTGATTTAACATCTCTACTTACTCAATCTCATCAAACAACAGATGTTACATTAAATTCTCGTGAATCAGCTATGATAACGGAATCATTAAAATCAACACAAATTCAATTTCCATTAACAATTAGTTTATGGTTAAAAGTTAATTTTCCATTTATACAACAATTAAATCAACAAAAACATAATCATAATGAAACAGAACATGGTCAATTTGATAATTCATTAAAAAAATCACCTTCTCAAAATTCAATTACTGATGAATTTAATATAAAAAATAATGAACAATCATTACTCTTACATATTCTTACATTACATAATGAACAATATCAATTTCAATTTTGGTTAGATTCTATACCAAGTATTCGACTATATATTGTACAACAACAAGAACAGAATAAAAAACAGACAAGTACGTATATCTTTCATACTAGAGTTTATTGGCAAAAATATTAAAAAATTTGGGCATTGCTAAAAGACGCGAACACCCACGAACACCCCCAAATTA